ATCTTACACGAAAATATACGAGGGAGTAAATCAGTTTTTAAAAATATATCCCAGATGAAAAGAGATGTTTTTGAAACCAAACACTTGTAAAAAAAAATAAAAATTATAATAGTATTTAAAGAATCATATTTTATATTAATATTGCATCAGTAAGCTTTACTCGACAGAATAAGTGTTTATGACCTTAAATCGCACTACTATCAATTTTTTTTAATTAAATTGATCTTGAATTTGGGTTTCTTCAAAAAGAATTAATATTTGGTTTATTCTTCAATTTATATATTATACTTTTAGAATTATTTATTTAATATGGGATATGTTCAGTAACACCTCTCCACTTTTCTTTTCTTTTTTATGAATTACGAATGATCTATTAAGCACACGTTATAGCCATTAAAAACAGTGCTAAACATAAAAAACACAAACATTGCTTCACAGAAAAAAATACAAATAGCTGTAAAGTGAGGCAACTTACAAACAAAACAAATAGCATGTAATCAAAGACATGAAAACTAAAACAGAATAAAAGTTACATATATCTAAAAACACTTTATATTTGGCTAGACTATTCGCTATCTAATTCTTCTCTGGATAAAACACCTCTCTATTTATAGTCTATCTTTTGATAAAGTGTTTCAAAAGATAATATAAAACCATTCATTGTACTTATCTTAACAACTTATAGATTTTTGATAATTGAAATATTTAGATTCCATTCAAAAGACTTAACATTTATGATAAGTTGGGTTTTAAATTAATGCATTCTTTACTGAATTATCAATTATATCTGAGGCTCTTACACCATATAGAATTTTGATTATTGGATTTAGGTTTCATAGAAAAATAAAAAATAAAAAATAAAAAAACTTAGATTTTAAAATGGATGATAGTTTATTAAATTTTAAACTTTGAAGTTAAATTGATGTTTTAAAAATAATGAAAATATTTGAATATAAAACTTGGTGGTGAAGGGTCTGTGTCGCTACATTAACCAAAATCCGTACAGAATGACAAATATCTAGGCAAAATTATTTCAAGACCTCCATCATAAACCGTTACATCATCATATAGAGACGATAACACACAACTCGGCATTTACGTGGATGCTGAATGCTCCATCCATTATTTTCCTGAAGAGTCAGATTTTATTAGCCCCCTGTGAACCCTATATGGCTTTCAAGGGTAGTGCCTGACCTTCTCTGGACTAGTTCTTGAAAGCTATCTTCCAACAAACAGCTCCCCCTTTTCTCATGCTGTTATTATCAGTGTCAAATGATATTTACTCTCTCGTACCATTTTTGGTGTTCAATGAGCCTGATTTGTTTGTTTGTTTCCTACCCTCCCATTTTCCTCCATCTACTCGAAATCCCCCTCGACTATTCCAATAATGCAGAGAGCTTGATCAAGGTTGCTCTCACCAGATACCGTGATCTTCAAGCATAAAAGAAATCTCAATGAGTTCTTCAGCTCTCACACCCCAGTAATCATAAGATATTCTAAATGTTTAATTTAGAAAGACACTTAAATCTTGCCATTTTTTACAGGTTTTGAGAAAAAGAGACGCGTGTCTAGGATTGTTTGGCTGTCGACAAGAAATGACAAAGAACAATATACTATTTCAGAGGCTGCATCCATCTTTCTTGTCAATCTGAGATTCTATGTGCGTTGGCCTACCATACACCATGATTAATCTAAAGTATTTTGGAACTAGAGGTGGCATTATCTTGCTCATAATAGAACTTGCAGGGCTTTTGATTGGATTATTGATTTGGCTACTGGGATCCACATGCTCTAATCCAAACCAAATTATTTGACACGAAATTTTATGTGACACGGTATATGTGAAGGGGTAGGTAGCATCAGATATCGCCTTGTACTGCCGTCTCTGGCTGGGTAAAGAAACTCTCTCCATGTCTCCAGAATATATGATTACATGTTAGAATGTGATTAAAGTCATTATACTAATCCTTTTTTCTGTATTATTTATTAAGTATTTTATCTAATCTTGTGGGATCGACGCTTTTATATTCCTATGTACGCAAACGCGCCTGCGCCACGACCCCAGAGACCGGCCACCCTAGTCAAGTTCAAACCCTAAAAAAACTTAATTTACCGGCAGGCACTTAACCTAATAAATCCATGCCCTTCTCGCTAGTAAGAGATGAACATTACAGACTGCTACGAGTGCTGTGAAATAGGAAACTTTTGTGAAACAAAGGGGTTCCATTTCCATATAGCGCATGCAAGAAATGCATGAATGATCTAGTACTAGTAACTGAAAATATAGCATTCCTCTGGTAAAAAAATAAAATAAAAATGGGGTTATATAGTTTCCAATAAACACTCACATGAAGGATCATGTCAGGATGCCTTGTTTGAGAGCTTTCATGAGCCCGTTTCCAAAGGAAAAGTACAAACTATAACGTCCCTGCATCAAATTAGAATGGTTAATAGCTGATGTCGGTCTGCTTCACTTTAACAGAACATGTGAAGATTTTTTGTCTAGTTTTTAATCTTCCACAAGGTAAAGAAACCTTAACAGGACAAGATGGTAGATCCAAAATTAGGGCCTTAACATCATTTGCTTAGAGAGGTAAGCGCATGCCAAATGTACAAGGCTGCTCTATTTTGGAGTCTAGTTAATAAATTAAGTGCTTTTATCAATGCCTTGCAAATATGCATGAAAGATTATGGAATAAAATAACATGATATCAGTTGCATTTCCAAGCCATTAACATAATATTTGAAGCACAATGCAAGCTTTGCAAACAAGAAATATAAAAGAATACAACAAAAATTAGCATGTCACTAACATGGCTTTATCTATCAACTAATTATTGTATATCGATCCACCGCTAAATCTGTTGTCTGGTATGGCATATCCGATTCAATATTCTTCCAGGACAAAACGGAATTTTTCTTGCATGACAAACTATGCAATTAAATAAGAAGCTTGATATCAAATCATATGATTATACAGACATGGATGTATTGATACATATTATCATCGTAGGAAACTTGCAGATATAACTGTGCTGTTGTAATGAATTCATCCCTTATTAATACAATTGATTGCGATGCATTCCAAATTATTTTTTAAACCCTCGAAGAACTATATATAATTAACTACAATAGAAGATTATGCAGAATATCTATGATGTGAAGTCTCTTGTTTTATTAAATTCTCAATCATTCAAAAAAGGGTCACATGCATGTCCTGTCATTCTAGTTGAATGGCTACTCGAGGCTTTCTAGTTGTTCCACTCAAAGACTCCCTCTACCCTTTGATGGATAATCTTGCACTTTTTCTTTACTTTCTACTTTAGTTTCCTCCACCACACGATTAAGAAGTCCCATAAGATGATTTTTATGTAAATTATTCTCTTTGGCATGTCCTGTCATTCTGGTTTTTTCTTCGCTTTCACAAATGCATGTGAAGATGCTAAGTATCTATATAATATAGAACTAGAGAAACTAAAATAGCATCTACTAAGCTCAAAATTTAGATTAAAAAACAGCTAGATTTCATCCTTGTAGACCCTTCTAACTTCTATCCCAGCAATTTTGAGCTTCTTATGCGAGTTAGTGGGGGACAGAAGCAAAGCCACTGCCCCCACTTGCCCCCATATGTTTGAAAAAAAACTTCTTGTACCATACAGAACCTGTGGTATTTTTCTTCATCTTTGACAACTTTTAGGTCAGTGGCCCCGGCTTCCATTTGGTTTCATGAACAAAATGTGCCCTTCTTTTCCCTTCCTTCTTCTTCCTTTTTTTTTTTTTAATGTGTGCGGGCAACAATATGACAATACCAAGTTTTTTATAACTAGAAAAACAGAATACCTTGGCGACTCCGTATTTCACAGCACACAAAATCACCATTATTTTGGTATTTCCTTCACTTAGATATGACCACATTTTTTATTCTGATCAAAGAGACGCAGAACGTTAAATTTGTGCAGTCCAAAATACCAAGTTCCAAATCCACCGACACAAGAACAGCTATAGACATTTCTTTTTTTGGACGAGACAATAAGCGTGGAACAAACTCCGTTAATCTTCAAGATTGCTTTCACTTATTCAAACCATATTCAACTTAGCCAGTTGATCCGAGAAACCCCCCGCTATTCAAAGCTTATCTCAGGGTCAGTTTCAAGTTGAACAAAAAATTAAAAAAAAATATTAAAAAAAAATAATAATACAGTTTTCATAAAAAATAATTGATACATGAGTTGATCCTAGGCACTTTCAGACCAGTATGCTCCAAATAAAAGACAAACTAGACTTTTGGGCACGGCCAGTGCATAGGTAAATTTCAGAAGAATATGGTTACGGTCCTTCACATACATAAAAGGCCAGCTAGGCCTTCAAATGAGTGCACAGATAAGCACTGAACAGAACGATGGTCCCTTTGTGATGGTGACATCCAGCAGGTGCAAATGTTTCAGCGCAGAGAACAACAGCATAGGCACACATGTCAAAAGGATTGCCAGCAGTGAGCCACCCTCTTGGCTATGGGCCGACTCCTAAATTTTAAGCTGTCTAAACGCAACCCTGCTTTCAACAACAAATTTATCTCCGAACCATTCAAGTGACGACATGGGCATTTACTTGGGAACCTTATTTTCTATGAGGAAACGTTTTAAGCTCGAGGATTTAGTCGAATAATTAAAAATGATGAACTACTGATTTGTCAACCATTCAACAAATCCTATGCTTCTTATAGGACCACACAGTATATCCTTTACTTGCTACTAAATTAAACCGGTTATGGGATGAGCTTTTCAACATGGTCCAAAAGGAAAGAAAATTTTTAACATTTTGTGCGAAGTCAGGAAACCAGCTCGCCACGGATGAACTTATGGCTCCATCCACACATCTATCATTGCGAACCAGTATGTAACTAGAGAGGGATACGTGCATGCAACATGGCAGCAGCAACAAAACCGTGTTGATGATATGACAGCAGTCTGAGAACATTGAGTTTAAAGAGGAGTGCTAAATTATGCAGAACTAATAAAATTTGGTATATAAAGTTGTGGGATTCAGATAATAATTATTCAAACAACTCTTTCTCTCTCTCATATATTAGAATGCAACAGTAGTTTATAGCTGTTCATCTGATTTTCAGCATGAAAAATGTAATGAAGACGACGCTGTCAGCACTTCGTTAAATAGATGATAGGTAAACCTTGAAGATACCCATGCTACTGCTTGAAATTATATTGTAGCAATTTGATTCAATTAATCATGGAAAAGTTACGCCATCAATAACAAAACAGATGCAGAATGACAGAGAACAAGTAAGACCTAGTAGAGAAGACACTCACATCATCTGGCATTCATTTAAAATTGAGCATGTGATCGCCCAATCCTCGTTTAGCTGTCACTCTGAAAGGGAAGCATCAGACATGAAATTTTCTTAGAAAAGCAATCGATAATGATCAAAGAACTAAGAGAAGTGGATGGCTGCTCAATTTTAATTTCATGTATTACCCATGAAAAAATATGGGTCATGGAGAAACAGAAATAATTTTCTCTGCAGGGGAGAAATGATCAAGAGGGGAGAAATTTTTGTAGTAAAATTACTAATGTATTGCAGTTAAAAGAAAAGAAGTTAGAGATGTGTTGGATAAAGTTCCAAAAGTAGATTAATAACAAACTTTAAATTTGTGTAACAATATCCAAGCAGAAGGTAACAAAAAAAATGCCAATTTTAAAACCACCAAGGAAAAATGAGAAGTTTAAAAGTTTTGGAATTGTATTCAAAATCACATTTTCTCAGGACTGCTTATCTGGAGGAAACTAATTTTATCAGGAAAACTCCCAGAAGAGAAAAAAAAAGTTCTAGCTTGTATATTCTCAATTGGCCAATAAATTAATATTTTGGTTAGAACAATCTTGAAGCCAAGATCCAATAAAATTGTGACAATTAATATGTCAAGTGAATGATATGTCCAAAAGCCTTTGTCCACCAATTTGTCATAACAGTACAACTCCCAATTACCTTCCACACATTTTCTTCTGAACTCTGAAATTTTATGTTTTTACCCACCAACTATGCCTTACATACCTTACTGGAGGACATGTCAATTGGTAGTGCTACTACAATCCCATTGATTCTATTTGAACCTGGAATCCCAGAGAAGAAATCATCAAAACTCAACATACGAAGACCCTATTGGAAGGAAACTAGAAGCTACCATTTTGATTTAGTAAATTCAATACATGTCATTCAGAGACACAGCCACGCAATATTCTCACTCAAAAACTAATGATAACAAAAATTCATAGGGATCTTTAATGATGTTTTATCAAGTATGGGAATTGGCATTTTTTTGGGTGAATCTTAAAGGTTTTTGCTGCACATGTACCAACCTGCCAACCAGCAGCTCCAAATTTTCCCCAACTGGACTGGTTCACACTTCTTTCATTTACACGAAAAACTCCTCCACAATAAACATACTTTGACTAGGATCAGTTCACGAATAGGAGGTGAGAGGTTTCTAAAGGTAGAATAACATGTTCATGGAATAGTCGGCACAATCCTTAACCATAGTGGGCATGTCTTAGCATAGTTATCCATTAATTCAAGCAATTGCACAGTAGAGCAGATTATGAAAATTCAGAGGTTGCTTACAAAAAGACCAGCATTGATTATGGGAAGATGTCTCATCCTTCAGCCTTCCACCAGGTGATAAGAGTAAGCACCACTTCGAAGGGTTTCAAAGTTGTGAGACCCGTGTGCTCGCACGCACACATACCCATCCCACATGCATAACCAATGCTCTATAAGATATCTACAGCTACCAACCCCAAAGACAGTGGGAATTATGGTCCGTGTTGAGTGAATAGAATTCAATGATTCATTGGTTGTTAGTTACCAACTTCACTATCAAATATAATGCAAATACTGAAATACATGACACAATGAAAATAAAATTATCATCATCATGCTAAAATATGAAGGAAGACATCTCTTTCCATAATTGCATTCTGGATTTCTTTTCTTTTCTTTTTTTCACCGGCAAACATAACATGCACAAGTAGAATGATATCAGTAACACTTACAAGCTCACGATGGTCAATGCTAGGATCCGGCTTTTTATCAATAACATGTGTTTTAAACCACTCAAAAACTTCCATCCTTTTCACAACAAAGTGTATCTGCACATATAATGAAGAAAAAGGAAAATAAATCAACAGAGTGGTGGACTCAATCATCATTCAAAAGCTGTGAAACCTTGAAACAAAAATTTCATGCACATCCATTTCCAACAATAAAAGTTGAAAAACTACAACCAAAATACAAGCAACCAACCTCGGTTGAATGATCATCCGAAAACATTATAGCATGATCATCTTGTCCAGTATTAAGTTTGAAAACACACAATACCTTCTCTCTCCTCAACGTCTGCATAACATATCATATCACATCATCCGTACATGTCACAACTCAATGGATTGCAACAGATTGTAACAACCCCGTAGTTTCTCTGTTTTGAATTATTCAAATAAGTTGTACAGATTGCAACAACCCTTAAAGTTAGGAAGCAGTTTTGAACTGCTGTATATTTTAGGATTTCAAAACAAATGTCTGTTATCCTGTATGTGTGTTTAACTGCTGCAAAATGTATATGAAAGACAGAATTGATTTCATCATTCTCTCATGGTATGGGAGCACTAAACCGATCCATTTTATTTTTTTCTGGTTTCCCCCCTTTTCATTAGCACTCATGGCTACAGAGTCTAACCCAGCAACCATTCTCAACACCAATGAATCACGCCAAACTCTCATCAGCATCAATGTTGCAGCTCAGAGCCTCAGGCCCCTCTCAAACTCACCTCTACCAATTACCTCTCTTGGAAACTGCAGTTCCAAACCTTATTCATTGGCTATGACCTTCTTGGCTACATTGATGGCTCCAAGCCATGCCCGCCAGCTACCTTGACTCAAGCCAATACCACCAGATCCAATCCCAATTACACTCTATGATCACATTGTAAAAAGCATCTAGTTCGGGGGGAAAAAAAAGAGTTACCGCCAAACTTGTAAACACACAATTCATTCAAAACAAATAAAAAAATTGCCTATCTCAATTTTCTTTAAAAAAGACAACGCTATCAATATTGTAACCATTGGAGTAAGGTATTATCAACTAAATTAACCTCTAATTCTCTATCAACTAGCGTTCTGTTCACTGCTATATAGTTGTGAATGTAAAATGAAAGGCTGAATCAGCACCTGAAATCAAAATTTCTGCATGTCAACAAAGTAAAAAATAAAAAACACTACAGAGAGCATGGCTATTAACTGAGTTACAGAGCCAAATCCAAGCACGGTAACAAAAATAGATTACGCGACAAGCCAAAAGTTCGAATAAGAGTAAATTGACCTCAACAAGGTCGAAAACTAATAACCTGCTTAATATTAAATAAAAAAAAAAGACGAGTAAGAGGAGAGTGAGGGCGATTGACCCTGTCGATGTGTCGAAACTGAGCTCGCACTCACCACTGTGTCGGTGAACGCGGGACTGTCCACTTGATAAATAGAAATTTACAAAACTCGGGACGTCCAATATAATTTCGAAGGGGAAATTGATGAAGCTATAAATTAAGAGTTGATTATTTACCGAGTGAGGGAGTTTCTTCAGCTTCGATCTCTTCCTCTTCCTCTTCTCGAAGGTGTTTTCTACTTCCTTTTTCATATGATTCTGCAATGGAATCTTTCTTTTTTTTCCTTGTTTTCTACGCTATGTTTGGGGCTTGGAAGGTTGAGATTTTTGAAATCAACGATTGAGCTTTGCATGAATGGAGAAGTGGAAATCCCTTGTCATTCAGCGCCGTCGTTTTACTGATTCTATCTATTCCTTCGAGCCTTTAAGAAAAAAAAAAAAAAACCAAAATTAACCAAACGACAGTCCATCTTCATGGTAGCGCTGTGCATGTCACAAGACAACGGATATTAATAAGATGTATCCAAGGCAACTGCCCAGCGGTGGAATGGCGCCTTGCGCTTTCTGTTGTCACGGGTTCGAGCTTTGGAGTTGCATGTATGTCAGCCCCGCGCTACCTTACCTGCCTGCTGGGTTTGCAGGGTGTTCAGTGGGCCGTGGGGATTAGTCGTGGTGCGCGTAAAAAAAGCATGTTCGGGGGAGTGAAAGTTATTTTTAAATTGGTTTTTTTTAATATATTAAAATAATATTTTTAATTTTAATATTAATATATTAAAAAGATAAAAAAATTATTAATTTAAAAAAAAAAAACAAATTAAAAAACACGATTAATACTAAATAATGACTAAATACTTAAACAGTTACACAATAAAAATCTGCACCGACCGAAAAACAATGACATCCATAACAAGTTTTAAGTTTTTAACATGTTAATGAAATAAGCATGATCTTACATAATATTTATATTACTAGATTAAAGAGTTGTTGGAGATTGGTATAATAGTTATGGTTTAAAGAATTTTTTATTTAAAATAATATTTTTTATTTAAAAAAAATATTTTTAAAATCAATATATCAAAATGATCTAAAAAAATCAAAAAAATTATTTTTAACAAAAAATATATTTTAAAAGTATATAATTTTAACCACTTTTTCAAATATAGTATAAAAATAATTATATTTTAAGATGTATAATGGATGTACTTAGAGCTAAATCTAAATTAAATGATATATTTAAAAGATTCGTGGAAGCTTATGGAGCTTCGCTACTTCTTTACCTTTTTTTATTAATTTTTCAAAAAATATATTTTTAATTAAATTCTTTAGCAATCTAATTTTATGAGATTATTATCGTAATTATAGTAAAATCACTGAATTCAAAGAATGTAAATAGATTTAACCCATGCATCCAGTATGCCCAAACCCATATGCCCCCCCGCCCCCCCAGTTTTTTTAGCATTGGCATGTTAGGCTATTTATATTCATTGTCTGGCCTAATTTTTTTTTTAAAAAAAAACTTTTAACATTGAAATTTTAATAAAAAAATTATTTTTTATATTAAATTGATTTTAAATTATTTTTTATTGAATAATTAAAATAAAAAAATATCATTAAATTCATTAAAGATTATAACCCTAAATTATATATTTAACAAGTTAAGCCATGTAATATTTTAACTTGAATAAACTGAAAGCTTATATCATAAACTTTTTAATTTAAGATGCATATTGGTGTTTTTTCGGCACGAGAGCAAGAAATTCAAGAAAACTACATATTATATTCAATCAAATCCACGACAAGGTCTTTTTCAATTGTTTGAAGTTTATTTAATAATGTATTATTTGAATTCTTATTAATTTTTTACTATAACCCTTTTCTTAATAAAATCGTGAAATCAAGCAATACAGTGATATTTATTTTAAAATTTGAAAGTAAGAAAAACAATATGATGCATTTTAAAACTTTTCATTACCTTTTGATTTTACTTTTAGGACAAAGAATTTTTAAATTAAGTTTTAATCTGTATAAAATTAAACAGTGATACCAGATTAAAAAATCAATACTACAAAATTATAAAATTCTGTTTTTAACATATATAAATCTATTATCTTTATTATTTGTTAAAATATTTTTCACATATATAAATCTATTATCTTTATTATTTAAATATAAATAATAACAATAACAACCACAACAACTACTAAAAAATCAATATTATAACAATATAATTAAATAATTAACTATGTATGGATACTCAAAGTTGTGTCAAGCCATGCACGGGAATTGTTTCTTAACAAGTCATGGAAGATGATTTTGCCTGCATGTTGATATAGATGCAATATTCTTTTAAAACTCAACTTTTAAACATGTTTCCAATATTACTAGATCAACATTCAGAAAAAAATTTAATTTATTTTTATAATATTTTAAAATGATATTATTTTATTTTTAAAAATTAAAAAACTAAAATTACTTAACCTTAAAATAAATTACAAAAACCAGGCAGATTTAAACACTCATTTAAGATTGTAATATAAATAAAGACAGGTAAAAACTTAATTTTATTTCATTCAAAATTATTTTTTTATATTATTTTGTATGTGTGAATATTAAAAATAAATTTTAAATAATAATAATAAAATATTATTTTAATAAATTACTAAATAAAAACTATTAAAAAAAACCATTTAAAAACTCAAAAACACCGCTTTAAGACTCTGGTTTCCTATGGAAGTGCCAGACGTGATTCAGAGATTCGCTTGCTATTTTTTAAACTCGTCACGGACCTCGCATCTCACAAACTCTCCCTCCTCGGGGTAACACGATAACCGCTGGATTTCTCCACTCCAAGCACGTAACTTACTGCTGAAATATTATAATTCCGGGCACGTGTATGATCCCTGCACTTAGCCTGTCAAATGAAGTCGGTCCTCTCATTTCTTTCCCTGCGTCTAACCACCACACTCTTCATCTTTATTTTTCAAATCACAAAAATTCTATCTTTTCTTTTCTGTTTTGAAACTAAGAGCGCAGTTTACTAAACAATAAGAATTCATTATTTAACATAATTATTTTAAAATAATAAAAAATCTAGAAAAATCTCCTAAGATGGTAAAAACACTTGCAGTGATGGTTATTATCTCGTATTTGTTTTTTTGTCGTATAATTTATAGCTTCAAACATATGATATTTTTAGCATGATGGAAAAACATGTGTAGTGATATTTATTATTTTTTATTAAATAATTTTTATTTTCAAATATCTATAATAAAAATATTCTAAGTGCTTCTTGGACGCTTTTATTTTTACTTTTTTTAAGTGAGGCTCGTGTAAAAAATATTAAAGTAATATTTGATGTTTTAAAGTGTATTTTCATTTATAAATATATTGAAATATTATTTTATTTCTTAAAAAATTTATTTTTAACATTTTCATATTAAAATAATTTAAAATAAAAAAATATAAATCATTTAAAATAAAAAATATTAATTTTAAAATTTTATTTAAATATATTTAAAAAAAAACATCTAAAAATAAGAAGCGGAAGCATGCCTAAACAGGCCGTTACTGTGATGCTTATCCAAATTGGTGTATGTGGTGGGGTTGATAGAAGGGACTAAATTGTTAGAGAAATACGAGAAAGAGAATAAGGGACCGAAAGCACCAATTGAAAAAGTACAGGGACATACTGTGTAAAAAACAAGACGAACTAAAATTAATATTAGTGAGACTCAAACTCTGTTTTCAGATCCACTCACATCATCATCATCATTTATTGACTTCCTTGCTTGCATCTCAAGATCTAATCTGCGCCATTTTCTTCTCCTCAGAGCACCATTCTCATCCTCAATTCCCCATCTTAATTTCAGGAGGTGAGGTTGCTTTCTTGTAGCTTGTTATTTTTCTCCATCCTAAACCAAAAAAGCTATGAAGTTTGCAGCTTTCTTCTTGATTTGCAACATTGGCCGCATTGTTTTTTTCTGGGTCTGATGTTTGCCAGGATTGTAACTTTCTAGTCCTGAGATTTTGTTAGCGATCAGGATTTCTTAGCTGTATCCAATTATAGCTGGCAAGTTGACGTTGTCGGTGCCTTTTCATTTTCTCTTATAATTAATATTACTACTATTGCCATGATGTAATCAATGATCCTGGATTGAAATGGGTTTTCTTGATTACCTAGCTCTAATTTTTAAGTTTGTTTCATATCTATCTCTAGTTAATACCATCTTCTTTCCTTTTTATGATTAAATTAATGGCCACCAATCATGGGATTTTGTTTTAGCTGATGTTTTTACATAGATTCCATATTTAGATTTTTGGATTATAGGATCTTTCTATTAGTTTATTTGTTTATCGGGATCTATATATAATAAATCTTTGCTTTCTTTCATGGATGGTTAAGTCCTGACGTGAATTATTTTTGGAATCAAGGTTGGCGGTGATAAGGAGCTCCAGGCAATCACTGAAGCGAATTAAACAACCTGAGTACTGAATTTGGTGTTGAAGTTTTGGTCTGGATATCCATTACCTATCGTGATCTCTTGGAGAGGGAAATGAGGTTCTGATTTTAACTTGAAGTGAAAGTAGAAGGGAAATTTTCATTTTCTGATCCTGGTTGCGAAAGATGTCGAGGGGAAGAGGTGACGGGGATCTGAAGAAGCGGTTGGTAACCTGGATAGTGGTAATAGCTATCATCTGTGGTTGTCTTTACATATATTCTCGAGACAGTGGAACATCTGCTTTGGAATATGGCAGTAAATCTCTAAGGAAGTTAGGTTCTTCTTATCTGGGTGGAGAAGATGATGGTGACGGTGCTTCCAACAAACCTGGCGAAGATCTACAGGATGATGTTATGCTTAAAAGCATTCCTGTGAGAAATTTTAAGTTGAATTAACCTTTTTATTTACTTGCTTTCAGGTCTAGATCTTCATGTTGGTATGAATTGCACTGACACAAGCTATATTTCTTTTATGATTATTTTCAATGCTGTAGGTTTGTGATGATCGACACTCAGAGCTGATTCCTTGTCTAGACCGAAATCTTATATACCAGACAAGATTGAAGCTGTATTTGTCTTTGATGGAGCACTATGAAAGGCACTGCCCAGTTCCAGAAAGGCGCTTCAATTGCTTGATTCCTCCTCCACCAGGTTACAAGGTAAGGTATTTCAAAAGTATTTTATAGTAGCTAGTTTGCAGGGAAGTAATGTTTTGGCCATGTGAATTGAATGAACCAGCTTAAAGTTGTATGTGTTTCCTATCCTTGATGGTTGCAGGTCCCGATCAAGTGGCCCAAAAGCAGAGATGTGGTGTGGAAAGAAAATATACCTCACACCCACCTCGCAAGTGAAAAGTCTGATCAGAACTGGATGGTTGTCAAAGGTGACAAGATTGAATTTCCTGGAGGAGGAACACACTTCCATTATGGAGCTGATAAGTACATAGCTGCAATTGCAAATGTGAGTAGTACTTCTCATGTAAATATGTGATTCTCAGATTCTCCATTTAATCTCATCTTTGGAATCCTGGTGCTGTGATAATTTTTGCGTTTTACTTTATACTTGGTTTTCCAAACTATCCTGGTTTTTAATACTATTTATGTTTCTCGCTGGCAGATGCTAAACTTTTCAAATGACATTTTAAACAATGAAGGAAGGCTCAGGACTGTCCTTGATGTTGGTTGTGGAGTTGCAAGTTTTGGGGGATATATGCTTTCTTCTGATATGATTGCAATGTCATTAGCACCAAATGATGTTCATCAAAACCAGATCCAGTTTGCCTTGGAAAGAGGAATCCCTGCATACCTTGGTGTTTTAGGGACAAAGAGACTTCCTTACCCAAGCAGATCTTTTGAACTTGCACATTGTTCTCGTTGTAGGATTGATTGGCTTCAAAGAAATGGAATCCTTCTTCTTGAGCTGGATAGGTTGCTTCGACCTGGAGGCTACTTTGCATACTCATCCCCTGAGGCCTATGCACAAGATGAAGAGGATCTGAGAATCTGGAAAGAAATGAGCGCCCTTGTCGAACGGATGTGTTGGAAGATAGCTGTGAAAAGGAATCAAACAGTTATCTGGGTCAAGCCTCTGACAAATGACTGTTACATGGAAAGAGAACCTGGTACTCAGCCTCCTCTCTGCAAATCTGATGATGATCCAGATGCAGTTTGGGATGTGCCAATGAAAGCTTGCATCACTCCTTACACTGATCGTGAGTACCACATCAGCCCTTTAAATTTCTTTTTGACTTTCAAGATTAGTGTTAGTAGTCTCATTATGATTTTTTTTCAAGCATGACCTTTCAATAGAAGCAAATTAATTTTGGAAGGTAGAACAGGAAATTGCATATTTTACTTTACATCAATAAAATGCTCATGCAGTAAACAATGCTTTACCTACCCCTTTTGAGCTTGTGAGCTTTTAGCAGCACATACAGTTAACATGCCAATTTGTGTTTTTTTAAATGTTTGATCTTTTACTGTTCATATATTGCTACTGAGGAAATAAAAAAAATCATTGGTGTAGTTAGATCCTCCTTGCCATGCTTTTGTTTGATTTTTATAAGGTGCTTTTTTAGCTGCATAGAATTTGTGTTGGAAGTAAGAAATGCATTGAGTATTTTAATGATCCCATCAGAACAACATAAAGCAAAAGGGAGTGGATTGGCCCCTTGGCCTGCTCGGTTGACCACACCACCTCCCCGTCTAGCTGACTTTGGCTATTCTGCTGAAATGTTTGAAAAGGACACGGTAATCTATCAAAATTTTCCAGTCTGTTAAATGTTTGGAAGAGGCTGGTTTGTAACAGGATTGATATGTTGCAGGAAGTTTGGCAGCACAGGGCTGAGGATTATTGGAATCTTTTGAGCCCAAAGATTCAGCCTGATACCCTGAGGAATTTGATGGACATGAAGGCTAACCTAGGGTCATTTGCAGCTGCCCTAAAGAGCAAAGACGTTTGGGTTATGAATGTGGTGCCTGAAGATGGACCCAACACTCTCAAAATAATATATGATAGAGGCCTGATAGGCTCTGCACACAACTGGTGAGTTCCAAAAATTTTCTAATATTTGACATTTGGAAAATATTCAAATTTGTTGGGGATTAAATTTCTGAAAAAAATAAATAATCAAACCTATCTGTCGTGTTAGTAAAAATTCTAGATATTTATTTTATTAATACATTTTATCAGAAAACATAAGCATCATTAGGGCTTGTGTCTACTCTAAGGTTATTTAGGTTTCTATCAGAAATCCTTCCGACGTGTTTTCATCAGATTGTAGAAAGTTTGTAGCCAATACCATTGTTATAACCACATGCCAGTTTGCTTGATGGGTAAATTTGATTTCTTTTTTCCAGAAAAAAGAAAAAGAAAAGTATAGGAAGATATGATACAGCAGAAACTGTAATACAAACTCGTCTCTGAGAAACCATTTCATTGTAGCATATGAGGTTTTCCTTCTAGTCTGACTCCACATAATATTCTTCTCTTGCAAACACATGAGAAGGTTGGTTCTGTTAGCTCTCTTATCAGGAAAATTCCTGCCATGGTACTTCCTAGGAGAGGGAAACAAAAACATCATGGAACTGCCAGTTATATCTCTTAATCAGACTATCATGTGGTCTAAAATGATTTTTGTTTCCTATTGACAGGTGTGAATCGTTTTCAACCTATCCACGGACTTATGATCTACTCCATGCTTGGACTGTCTTCTCAGACATCGAAAAGAAAGATTGTGGTGCCGAGGATCTGTTAATCGAGATGGACCGCATTTTGAGACCCACAGGCTTCATTATTATCCGCGATAAGCCATCAGTGGTGGAATTCGTAAAGAAACATTTGTCAGCACTGCATTGGGAAGCAGTGGCTACAGGTGATGCTGAGCAGGACACCGAGCAAGGTGAGGATGAGGTGGTGTTCATCATCCAAAAGAAGATGTGGCTAACAAGCACCAGCTTCAGTGTCACTGAATAAAACAGCCAACCATGATTTCCAGACTCTTGCCCTTTCACCTGAACATTGCAGGGGCTGAAGGTAGCCCATCTCGTGCCCGGTGGTTTATATGATTTTGTAGCATCTGATGTTTTAGTTTATTTCTTCTCCTTAATCTTATATGAAAGCAGATTTTTTTATCCAGGTTATTTATGTTCTATTATTCATTATAAATTCAAATTGTTAATTTAATCGCTGACTATTGATTAAATTAAATCAATGCTGTTAGAGGAAGTACGGAAATTGAAGCTTTCATTTTACAGGAGTCTTCTTGTTGGTCATGCACTTTCAATTTTTTGACCGAGCTTTATTATCTCCACAATTTTTTTCGCCGACTCTGGAGCGAAGGAGTGAGAACCTTCAAATATCAGGAGAATATTGTAACGAGAGCGAGATTTTTAATATATATATATATATATATATTTACTTTGTTAAAAGATTATTATAATTCTTTATATAAAAAGAAAAAGAAAAACTCAAATAATATTAAATAAAAAACTATTCTTTTCAAGTAAAAAAAACTAGAAGAGCATGATAATACATGATTGGAAAAGAAAAGTAGGAAAAAAAAATTAGCGAAAGAAAATATTTATTTTATAATTTTTTTTTTTTGATGCATTAGACTCTCGGTTAGAAATTATCATTCAATATGAACATCTTTTGTGTGGACTTTTTTTATTGTTGAGTCCTAATATCTGTATGTAGATCAGCATTTTATAAAGCCCTGATAAAACATTTTTATATAGGTTATAATATCATAAATTTCTAACACTACACCTTATATAAGCTACTTCATCAAAAATTTCACCATTAAGATTTTCAATAGTAACATCTAATACAAACAAAAACAACAATTTATTTTCGGAACATCTCTTTCATGAGAGGGGTTCTTCTCATCCTTTTATACAAGTACCTCTTGTTCCACAATTCTTTTCTAAAAATGATTATTTAACAACATGCAATCATTAATCACTTGAAATTGTTGAGTTTTGGTAGACATCTTTTACAATCTTCAATCATTATGATTTGATAATATAACAAAATTCTTTAGAAATTATTGGATTTTAATATTTATTGACACAACTAAGAATGAATGATAATGTGGTTTGTTATAAGTCTAGACTTCAAAGACTAGAAATACTATAATTATAGGGAGAATTCTAAAATACTCAATTTTATTAATTAATGTCTTTACTTGCCAAAATGTTATTACAATTTTTTTTTTGTAAAAAACTATAAAACCCTACTAATACTAGATAAAAAAAAAATAGAAAAACTATCATCTTCAAATAAGAAAAAAAAAACTAGAAAAGCATACTAATACATTATAAAAAAAAATAACTAAGAAAAATATTATTACCTCATCAAACTTTACCACCACTCGTTCCTTTTTTATGAGATATAAAAGATTGAGATATTGTGGACATATTTTTTTTATATCTTTTATTTTAAAATATTAAGAATTCACTTTAAAATTGTTTTAAACATAAATTTATTTAATATGTCCAATTTTTTAATCAATTATATTTTTATCTTTTCTACTTATATTTTTTTTGTTCAAAATATTAACCAAACACAGTCCAAATACACTATATTCCCTTTCTTTTTAGAGTATGTTCATTATCCTGAGCTAGGAGTTAGGACAAATTTATTGAAAAAAATATTTTAATTTAAAATATTAAATTGCTAAGTGATGAATTTAATTTAATTTAAATTAATTATACATAACTTGTCAAGGAAATATATCCATCCAAAATCTTAAAATGACCAAGTAATTATCAGATAAATTGTTTCAAATTAATCAAAGAAGAATAAAATTATTTGGTTTTAACTCCTCGCCATTAGGTGATCATTAATTAAGGGTTTGAACTCAATTTGACCGAATCTATAAGCTTAAGGAATATTCTAAAAATTATTTTATATTAATTATTCAAATCAATTCACAATCTTCTTTTGAAGAAATAAAAACAACATAATTTAGCTGGCTAGAAAATAGAAAGTTGACCATACGATAGATAGGAGCAGACAACTAGATTCCTCCTGGTTTGACTCTTGACCAAAACCTAACCCCCATCCCTCGTAAATTCTATAACTAACAGCTGTAAAATACAATGAGAAAACTTCAAACTTGATTGCATCCCAGGAATTTTTTTATAGTTATAAAATTCGGATCCTTCAGTGAGTTAATTTGAGATTTTATCGATTTATTAATTTAAATAAAAAAATAAATTAGGATTGATCTGTGACGCTTGTAAAATACGATATAAAATCAATGAATTATTTTTAAAAATATTAATTTGATTTTAAAATTTTTAATTCACCTGAATTAAATTAGCCATATTATTTATGTAAGGGGTTGAAAAGATGTTTTTTCTCAATAAAAAATGCCATTGTTTAATTTATGTAGTGGCTTAGCATCCCCCTTTCTCTACTACACATTTAGCCCATCCAGGTACCTGACATCATCCATCAATTTCTTTTCTTGCAGTTCAAGATCCAAGCCTGTGAATTTTCTCCTTGCAAATAGAGAGAAAGAGAGGGAGGAAGAGAGCATCGTTGTCATTTTCATGTTTCTACGTGTGAGTTTATACTGTACTAATACCATTATGCAACAGTCTTAAAGTTTGTTACTTTCTGTATGGTTTGAAACATTGCCGACATATGTTTTTGACATGGGTTCGATGATGCCGTTACTAAAGACACAAAGTATTCGAAGTGTTGAAATTTTTGTGATCTGGGTCTTCTTAATCAATCTCTTCCACTGCTTAACTGTATCACATTATAACTGGCAACCAGCAACTTGTCGGTGCTTTTCGTGTGATATACTGTACTCTTCTTTTTTTCCCTTTTTTCGTTATTGCCCTTTTTTTATCTGACAAGATCATGCTGCTGCTTCATTCAGCTGGGTAGATTTGATTTGGTTATTTCATTTCAAAGTTTTTCTTAGATCTACTGTTCTTGCTAATCTCATCTAAGTGCAATAGCATGCCACATTCTCGTAGATGGAATGTAGTTCTTTTGTTTGTTTTGTTACATTTGCTATCTTCTTTTTAATCTCTGAGTAGTGATCTTCTTCTGTATGAATGATTGGCCTCATAAAGGTGTGATTTCACTTTTTGTTAATGTTTTTGACATTGGGTTGTATGAGTTGGATGTTTGAATTTAGGGTTTGTTCTGTGATTTGTTAGACTATTGTGCCTTGTGTTATGGATGCTTTAGTCCTAACTTGATTTATTTTTGGAATCAAGGCTAGTGGTGACAAGAAATTTGATGCCATGATGAAGGGAATTCAATAGCGAATTTGCATTGGGTGGTCATTCATCACTAATCACTAATCACTAATCACTAATCGATTGGAGAGAGAAATGAAGTTCTGATTTGTCTTCTGTATATTGAGGTTACAGTGGAAGAGGGAGATTTTGTATTTTTATTACTGGTTGCAAAAGATGGCAAGGGGAAGAGGTGACGGGGAACAGAAGAAGCGGCTGGTAACTTGGATAGTGGTATTGGCTATTGTTTGCGGTTGTCTTTACATGTATTCTCGAAAAGGTGGAACATCTGCTCTTGAATATGGCAGTAAATCTCTAAGGAAGTTAGGTTCTTCTTATTTGGGTGGGGAGGACAACGGTGATGAAGCTTCAAACAAATTCGGTGAAGATCTACAGGATGGCGTTATGCTTAAAAGCATTCCTGTAAGCAATTTCAAGATGAGCAAATTTTATGTTCACTTGCACTTGGGTTCACGTTTCTCTATTTTGGAATCAGTTGCACTGATATAAGCTATACTTCTCTTGTAATTATTTTCAATGTTGTAGGTTTGTGATGATGGGCAATCGGAGCTGATTCCTTGTCTAGATAGAAACCTTATATACCAGACAAGATTGAAGCTGGATTTGTCTTTGATGGAGCACTATGAAAGACATTGCCCAGCTTCAGAAAGGCACTTCAATTGCTTGATTCCTCCTCCACCAGGTTACAAGGTAAAGTTTTTCAGAAGTATTTTGTAGTGGCTAGTTTGTAGGGAAGTATTGTTTTGGCCAATTGAATGAACCAGCTTAAAGTTTTATGTGTTTCCTATCCTTGATGGTTGCAGGTCCCGATCAAGTGGCCCAAAAGCAGAGATGTGGTGTGGAAAGAAAATATACCTCACACCCACCTCGCAAGTGAAAAGTCTGATCAGAACTGGATGGTTGTCAAAGGTGACAAGATTGAATTTCCTGGAGGTGGCACACACTTCCATTACGGGGCTGATAAGTATATAGCTGCAATTGCAAATGTAAGTTAATAATTTTTCTCATGTAAATGTGTGTGACTCTCAAGCTTCAATCAATTGCGTTTCATTGAAATCCTGGTGATGCAATATTATGTTTGACTGCACATGCTATCTCCAAACAGTCCCAGTTTTTTTATTTTGTTTATATTTCTGGTCGGCAGATGCTGAACTTTCCAAAAAACATTTTAAACAATGGAGGAAGACTCCGGACAGTCCTTGATGTTGGTTGTGGAGTTGCGAGTTTTGGTGGATATCTTCTTTCTTCTAATATCATTGCAATGTCATTGGCACCAAATGATGTTCATCAAAACCAGATCCAGTTTGCCTTGGAAAGAGGAATCCCTGCATACCTTGGTGTTTTAGGGACAAAGAGACTTCCTTACCCAAGCAGATCTTTTGAACTTGCACATTGTTCTCGTTGTAGGATTGATTGGCTTCAAAGAAATGGAATCCTTCTTCTTGAGCTAGATAGGTTGCTTAGACCTGGAGGCTACTTTGCATACTCATCCCCTGAAGCCTATGCACAAGATGAAGAGGATCTGAGAATCTGGAAAGAAATGAGTGCCCTTGTCGAACAGATGTGTTGGAAGATAGCTGTGAAAAGGAATCAAACAGTTATCTGGGTCAAGCCTCTGACAAATGACTGTTACATGGAAAGAGAACCCGGTACCCAGCCTCCTCTCTGCAAATCTGATGACGACCCAGATGCAGTATGGGGTGTGCCAATGGAAGCTTGCATCACTCCTTACTCTGACCGTGAGTACTGTAATTGCCATTTCTACAGTGGTCCAATCTCATAGAAATGGAAAAAACCAAAAACCTTTTAATTTTTATCGAGAACTTCAAAATAGTGCTAGTATGTCACTTGAAATAGAAACATCATTAGGAATGTGATCATGTTATTAATAAATTAAACATGGCCATATGTTCTTGTTTACATATTTGATCCTTTGTTGTTCACGTGTTGCATGCTTGTCACCTAGGTACCTTATCAAGATTGCTTGTCTTTTGATGTTTTAACACTTTCATCTGCTATGTTATTAACTGCTTTTTTACCTGCATGGAACTTGTACTGGGCGGTTAGAAATGCACTAACTAAATATTGTGATGATCCCACCAGATAATCATAAAGAAAGAGGGAGTGGATTAGCTCCTTGGCCTGCTCGGTTGACTGCTCTACCTCCCCGTCTCGCTGACTTTGGCTATTCTAATGAAATGTTTGAAAAGGACATGGTAATCTATCCAAAAGTTGCAGTAAGTTTACATCTGTGTAAATGCAAGTAGCTGGTTTAAAACAGTTTTGATATGTTGCAGGAGGTTTGGCAGCAGAGAGTAGAGAATTATTGGAATCTTTTAAGCCCGAAGATTAGGCCTGATACACTGAGGAATGTGATGGATATGAAGGCAAACCTAGGGTCATTTGCAGCTGCTCTGAAGAGCAAAGATGTCTGGGTTATGAATGTCGTGCCTGAAGACGGACCCAACACTCTCAAAATAATATATGACAGAGGCCTGATAGGCACTGTGCACAGCTGGTATGTTGGAAATGTTATTGACGAGATTATATTTGAATGGTAAAAATAAGTGAAAAGGAAACCAAATTTGTGGATTTTGGTAAAGATTAAAAAAAAATTGCTCTTCAGAAAGCAAACACTGCGCAGGGAGTGTATGCCTATGAAATATATAGATTTCTAAAGGGAAATTGATCCTTTGAGTTCTCTTGTTGTAAAATATTAGCATTCAATTCCAAAAAAAATCAATGATTCACCAATTTGGTATGATGGGAGTAATTTTCTTACTCTGCTATTATATTTGAAAGAGAAAAAAAAGTTTGAAATAGCGCAGGAGAAGCTGTGATGCTAACCTCATTCATGTATCTGCATAGTGTACCCCGAGTCGCCATTTACTCTAAAACCTGAGGGGTTTTGGACAGTCTCACTCCACAGGGGAACTTGTCTTATAAACATTAAAGGCTTTGAAACCTCTATCAGGAAAACTCTTTTGATGCTAGATTGCACGGATAACCATGTTGCTTCCAAGAAGTTGGATTTGGAAGCATAGTAGAAGTGCTGATTATTTTCTCTCTCGGTATCTTTTGGGAAAATAATTTTGGTTTTCTATTGACAGGTGCGAATCCTTTTCGACCTATCCACGGACTTATGATCTACTCCATGCTTGGATGGTTTTCTCCGACATTGAAAAGAAAGGTTGCAGTGCTGTGGATCTGTTAATTGAGATGGACCGCATCCTGAGACCGACAGGCTTCATCATTATCCGAGATAAACGACCAGTGGTGGAGTTCGTAAAGAAACATTTATCAGCACTACATTGGGAAGCAGTGGCAACAGCTGAGGCTGAGGGGGAGTCTGAGCAAGATGAGGATGATATGGTATTCGTCATTCAAAAGAAGCTGTGGCTAACATGGGAGAGTTTCAGGGAAACAGAGTAAAACAGCTAACCTTGTCATCCAGAGTCTTGGCCTTTCACCTGAAACAACCACTGCGTTGCAGGGCTTAAGGTGCCCAAGCAGAGCAGGTAGTTTATATGATTTTGTAGCATTTGATGATCATTTATTTAGTTCATTTGTTACAAGCCATTTGTATTGTATTTTTATTCTTCGTCAACTCAAAAGTCAAAACTGCTGTAATTTTATTTTATTTTTGGTTTTTTTCAACCATGGACTACAGTAGGAAATAAAGAAATAGCACGTTAAAAGAAACTGGCAGTTGCTTTGCTTGATTGCATCAAAAGTCGTTGATGCCTGCTGAGCTCATTATCATTAAGAACTATTTCAGCCATGACTATGTACACAGGTTTTGAATCATGCACAGTTCATTATTTGTTAAATCCCTTCTAAGAATGTATGGGCCAGGGGCTCGACACCTCCATTGCCTGTACAGAATCCATCCGAGTCCAACAAGGGCATTCCTAGCATACTTCTAGAAGATGCCTGGAGTCATTGATACATCAATAAATGTTTTTCAACGGAACCATGGCCACAGGAAAATTAACATCACGGAATCATAGAGTACAGGAAATTACTGCATGATTCCAGCAGAATTATAGCAAATGTTACTGCTCACCAGCATGGACACCGACGTTCTTTTATCCAATTACCAGAGGACAAGCAACGGGACTTTATTTCTTCATCCCATCACTAGGAAACTCTCGCAAATCTTTTATCTTGGTAATATTCCCAGCTAACCGTGTGAGTTTATTTAACCACCAGCTAACTTCCGAAAGAAACCATGCGGACAGAAGACTACACATTAAAAAAAAAAAAACCCTACTCAAGCCCTCGATGCATGCAAGCCACCCGGCCAGCAGCATCATCCACCCATTAATATTATGTGAGGTAGAAACAGTTTCACTTTATTCTTTTCTTCACACGGCAAGTGTGTCCTAAGACTAAACTAGCCCACATCCTACAGCAAGATTGATCCATCCCCTCACCCCCACACTAGGGTACACCCCGTAACCCACATGGACACATAGAAAAGCCAAGGGGAAATCTAAACGGTGTCAGGGAAAAAACCCCATAACATAGATGAACCCGTTTTCATTTCGTGCCCAAAATCTTAACAGGTATAACATAATTGATAGTTTACATCCCCTACAAAATTGAGTCAACATGTCAAACTGTTTTACTACGAGGAAAATTTCCTGTTTCCAGTCACTTTGGCAACAAACTCTCGTCCTCAGGCTGACTTTAACTTCGATGAAATAGAGGCCAGGTGTGAAAGGATTCTGTGCCCAACAAACATCAGAAAAGCTCCCAAGAAACCAAGAGCTTTCAGTGTTGTGAATAGATCCCACTGCTCAGGAAAAAAAAATAAAAAAGAAAGAAGGGTGAATTTCAAAATGCTTCTAACACCACTAGTAGAAGAAAAATATCACTAATACCCAGCAAACAGTCAAAAGTTGCATATCAAACACACATCAGTGAATACAAGCACTAGAAACCTTGCAGGAATCACAAGTTGATCGTCAAATAGGAGCACATAAAAAGCATTAAGTGCGAAACTGACCTTCAGCCAGAAAAGTGCATAGAGCAACAAAACTGCTGCAATGCCGAGATGGAAGAGGACAGCAAACATGGCAGGAACAGATGAGGAAGGGAAGTTCTTCAGGTTCACCCCTAAACGCAATAACTGTCAAGAGGAGAAGGCATGTTAACATATGCCACTCATTCACATCCCCTATGTACCTTGTCCATATTTATTGGGAAGAGAAGATGACAAGTAAGAGAAAACTGGGCAGAAAAAAATAACAATGCACACTTGAAATCCCGACTCCTTTTCCAGACCAGAATGTCAATGAAATTAATGTGCAATACCTTCTCTGTCCTAATAGAAAGGGGTACGCTAAACTCCTGATGCTCACCTGATGTCATCTAGCATGTTCTAGCAATAACATTTAAACCAACAGGTTCAACTGAGTATTTTCAATCAGAATTACAATTAAACACATCCAAATCAACAGGTGTCTGCATAAACACACAGCAATCCAAAGATCTTTCCAACATAAGCATTCAAATTCCTAGGCCAAGGTCATACTGGAAGCACTATATGGGGCATCATAAGTTGGGACAATTTAGATAGAACCAATGAATTACAGAAGTAACTAGGAAGATTCAATCAATTACACTCAGAAGGGAGTAAATCTATGTTAATGCTCAAGTGTCCAGAATCTCTGTCAGATAATATAATACTCACCCCAACTAAGAACCCAAGTAATGGAAAAAGTGTAAGACCCAAGAAAGCAAGAGAAAGCTCCTTAGGTGGAAGCTTTTCAGGAACCCTGAAGATGTGAGTTATCTCTGCTTTAGGACCATATCTCAAGTTCTGATCAAGAGGTAGTGGCGGTGGCTGTGGTGCCTTCTCAGGCGGTTCTGGTAGATCTAGGTCAAGGTGACCAATAGCCTTCAAGAAAGAATTTTCCTGAAAAAGATAAACAAAACAAATTATATCATGCTCATGTCATATAATAATCCATACAAATATAAAAACCTCGTAAGAAAAATCAAGCTTACCATAACAGCATCACCCACAGTGAGCTGAACATTATATTTCCCTGATAAATAGAAAAATTTCTCAACCAGTCCAAGGAAATCCTGCAAGACATATTGCCAAATATAAGAAAAAAAACAAAACTTTGAAAGAGACAGAATATGGATGGTTGAATGGTTTGTTATTGTGTGTGAATCTGTTTCCAAGCAATCGATACTGGTGCACACTAGCAGTATTTGGAAGGGAAGTGGTAATGAATCTCGGCACGTGCAAAGGTGTTATGCTATCAAGCAATAAAGGCTTAAAACTCACTTGCACTCAAATTACTTCCGCTAAAGGTGTATTGATTTGCCATAGCAAAAAGAGCCATTGTCACTAAGCACCTTAAGACAATGTATGATTTAAAAGTGTTCAAAGTCTCTGGACATGGGTTTGATTGGGCATATTTTACCTCTTAACCATTGGGGTTGTGGAAAAACAAGGCCTCAACTACCAATTTGGTCTTTTGTATCCTCAAACTACTATTTACTGAGCAAATGTTTTTGACTGTAAAATTTGATTGTTAATCTAAATGCTATAAATGACACCGTTTTGAAGCTATTCAATTTTTTTATTGGTAAAAATAATTACAAAAAGTAAAACGATGAACTGTAAAAAAAATTCAAATTGCTCCAAAACAATATTATTTATAACATTTAGAATAATGGTCAAACTTTGAAAGTTAGTCTTAAGGGTCAAATTTGATGGAAGACCTTAATTTTCCCACTAAATAGTAGTTTGAGGATATAATAGACTAAATTGATGGTTCAGCCCTCATTTTGCCACAACCCAAATAGTGTAGGGGTAAAATATGCCACTAAACCTGGACATGCATTCAAGATTATCTTCTTCATAAATCTTACTTTCATTAGTCTATAATTACCATGTGAAAAGAAAATCAACTTCATTTCAGGTACGAGGGAAATTGGTTAGCATTGCACTAATTTACAATTGGAATCAAATTGCTAGGAACAAAGTAAGGTGATTGTTGGCAATAGCCAACAATTCAAATTTATATCAATGAGAAACCCAAAAGCCAACATTCATATGCATTTGATAGATTTTGTTCCTAAGCTAGAAAGTTGCAAAAACATGTCAATGATCACGTAATACGGAGGGACAAAAGGGAGCAGAACATTGCAGAGGGAACTTACTAGATTGATCTCAAACTGTTTTCCAGAGCTCCCCACCACAAAACTATGCTCAACCTTAGTCTCATGTGTCAACTTAAGAATTGCCTGCAAGCCAAGAAACTCTGAACAACTAATCACAGAGACAACAATTCTAGAGAAAGACAGGCTTAATACTAACCTGATGTGGCTTAAAAGCATGACCATGAGGAGTAGACAATTGGAAAGAGAGGCGCAGCTTCTGAAGATGGTTTGCAGATAATGATACAGTATTTTCCCCAGCTAAATCTATCCTGCATAGATCCAAGAACTAGAATTATACTCTAACTAAAGCCATGTAGTTCAAATTCAGTCAAAAGCAGAGCTGAATAAAGGATTGTAGATAAAAATTTAACAAATCCCAAAAGGTCAAAATGACAAGCATCCAACATCACAATCAGTGACAGTTAGTAAGCACTCTGTTTTGTAACTGGGAAATGTAAAAAAAATACTTCTTGGTTTCTGTGCTCCCAAGATCACTATCAAGCACTGAGATTTCTGCACTGTCAACTTTGACAACTCCAGTCACAAATATTGGAATCCGAGTTTGGCCTCCAGTGGCATACAAGTTTAAGTGGTCTGGATCATGAAGCACCATCTGCAAAAGTTTGAGCTTGTCAAATACGGATGTAAAGGCAGATTAAAAGAAGCCTTTATGCATCAAAGAAAACAAGGATACCTCAAAAACAAAAGTGTATTTTCCAACATCAATACTCTTTGGCAAAATATCCAAGGCATAGACCGCGCTTTCAGGGTTGAATTTGAGTTCCTATATCACACCAACAACAATTAGTGCTGACCATCCAGCAGATCACCACTTTGACCGGGCAGACAACACCACACGAAAGCTAGACAAAGGAACTGAAATGGATTCAACATGGTTAAAGTTGGGAAATAAACTGTACCTGACCCTCAATTAATGAATTGTCCTTTGAACCAGATCTAAAAACCCCGACAAGTTTCACTGTCAAAGGAGGTGCATTTGAACCAAGCACAGTATTCACCTTAACCTGGTTACAATTATATTGAACGTCAATTTCAATAAATGTGTGTAAAAGGAAGGAGGTCAAGTTTATGCAAAAACTTTATAAAAACTGAAGGTTTTGCAAATCTGAAAAAATGTATAGAATAAGAAAGATATCAATTATAATTTTTGCAAATTCCAAAATATCCAGAATACATTTAAGAAACAGGAAGAATAAAATAATAATGGCCAAGCATGATAACCAGGAAAAGCCCATGAGCTAGCGCGCGCCCACACACACATATAGACAGACAGACAAACACACAAAAAATGATTAGCATGCACACAGCAACACACCTTTAGGGTGTCCTTCTTAGTCAATGAAAGAACTGTAACTGGAAGCGATAGAATCAGTGGAATGGAAACCCTGCACCACGGAAAAAAAAATCATACTTGAATAACGAAGTTATTTGCAAACGTTTCAGTAAATCTAGCACTCCATATTAGAACAGCTAGCCACATCATGTTATCCTACTTGTGGCTTTTCTCAACCAAGAAAAGGACAAATCAAAATACATAAAACTGAGGAAAATTAACATTCAAGCATATAGCAAAAATATATATATATATAATGTTCAAGTATATAAATAAGTGTTTAAATTTTTGCTTTAAAGACAAACTTTTGCTCTTAGATTTGCAAAAGACAGCACGCAGCTCATAAAACATATTTGAATTTCTTTTCACAGAAACAGCACATGTTCTTGAAGCATTGAAACTGCAGTCACTGAAATTTGTGTTCTTTTAATGGACCAATCACATATTACAGATTTCCTTATATCAGGCAAGCAATTATCAGAACGAGTTCTACATAACATACACATAAAATGCTGACAATCACAGAGAACTAAGTTAAAGAACTAAGTTAAGAGCACACTTACGAGTTGCTCTCTAGGGAAGCCAAGGAATCTATTTGGTTGAACAAGTCTTTGGCATCACCTGGAATTCCAATGCCAAGTAAAAATCTTGCCAGACCCAATACCTTGCCACTTGGAAGCTGAGAATCAAATAGGGAGAAAGAAAGCAAAGAAAATAGCATTAAAAACTTTCTGCACTAGAAAAATACCAGAATAAAGACCAGCAACAACAACAAACCTAACTCACATTCAAGCTTCCTAAAGTCACAGCCGCAAACGCTGTCAACCCTCTAACAACAGAGGATGTGGTTGAAAGAGGACCTTGATGTTCATGTGCATCAACCAGTTTCTCATCAAAGTAAAAAGCTCCATCATCTACAATAAAATTTTTTAGCTTACTAAGTACATTATGGAATAACACATAAATAGCAGCTGACATCTAGGGTTTTTTTGGGAAAAAGGTTAAAACTGATGATTAGGTGAATGAAGCATGGCCTGACTTTAAAACTGGGGTGAAGATCCTTGATGTCAGAATGAGGGCTTAATTTGCCAAGTCAAATCTAAGACAAAATAGATTGCCAAACTGTGTCATGGAAACTTAGCTTAAAATCAGCAGAATTAGGGTTCTGGCATAAGCAAGAAAAGTAATATGAAGAGGAGAGTAGAAATACCCATGAAAGTTTAGAGAATATAAGCTCAGTTGCACCATAATAAGAAATGCTTTGGCAGCACAACTGCCAAAAATTATTATGATTTACAAGAAAAGAAGAGAAAAAAATATTGACATACCATATTTCTCAATGCTGTCAAACAGCTTCAATATATCATTTTTAGTTGTACCAATCTGCAAATGGTAAGCAAATGTAAGAAATAAGATATTGCAATGAACACAGAAGACAGCAGCAGCAAGTATATTAGAAGATACAATACAATTCATACAATAGAAACAAAAACCCTCACCGTACCTAGGAAATTACTAATACAAGTTTATACAAAATAGATCGACCCACAAGGAAACAGTAGATTACATAGCATAAAAGTGAGTTAGGCAATGATTGTAGCTACATTTCTAAAAGGACATGCCATTCTAAAAATTTGGATACGTTAAGCTCTGGATTTGTTCTGAGAATATGGGATATATAGCAGACATAAATCCATTACATAAGCAAAACAGTAGGAATCACTACTGAACACAGACTATGAACCACTTTGAAACGAAAATTTAGAGCAAAAATTTTGCTGTGGAAAGAATGCGCACCAGAAATCACTAATAAGCTTATGCTTTAAAGAAAATGATAAGGAAAACAACAACCATATGACCTATTTCAACTACAATCACAAATTACAAAGTACCATAAATTCCTTAAAACAATAATAATATAACCTATTTCACCTACAATCACTAATTACAAAGTAACATATATCATTGGATGCCAACAAGTTTGATGCTGATAAGAAAATTAACAGGTAGTGTCTTTATTAAAAACATAAGAGAAATGTTGGGCTCATGAAAAAACTAAAAGTTCTATTGAGGCAAAGTAAGCAAATCTTCCAAATTACCAGAGATTGATCGATCTCAGAAGATGATAAAGAGACAACACCAGAAAGTGCTTCAAGTGCTAGACCTGAAAAGAAACATGATCAAGCAAATTAGGAGGAGCCACTTTAAGCAGAAGAATTACCATGGCATCCAGTTCTAATTTCAGCAATACAACATAATTTATGCATTGAATGTTAAATATGCCAGAGTCTCCATCCAGATCTTTTCTTCCCTTTTTCTGAGATGTTCCAAATTACATTTCCATTACTATTTCTAAGCAAATGCTTTTTGTTGAGTCTACAAAATTATACTAAAATAATGATAAAAACAAAGTAGCGTTTTTGTGGTTACCAATAAATGTTAAAGCAATAATTGCATATTCTCTTAAAAGAGAAGCATTGAATATATAAGTTGCTAAAGAATTCATCATGGTATACAGAATACTTATAGAACATACCAGCAGCAAAGGTACTGGACTCGGGATTATTAGAATTATAGCGCCATCTTCCATCACTCTGGCTTAGAGCCTGCCAATAATTTGTAAGTTAACTAAAACATGCGCAGAGAATTGTGTTTGAAGAAAGTAAATTTAAAGCCAAGCATCAACCTAAACATTGTGGAATAAACTTCTAAGCAGACCAACTCTCAATACACCAGCAACTAGTTCCACAAGGGCCCTAATCAAAGAGAGAGAGTTCCAGGCAAGGGTGGTCACTATTGAAATCTTTTTTACCCCTCACAGAACAGTGCAGTGCCAAGCTTATATCCTCACTCTAATAAAATTCCAAGCAATGCAAATACCAACCTTGATGGAACCAAAAACTCCTTCAGCATCAGCAAGATACAGATCACCTTTAGAAGTTTGATCCTGCATTAAAAAAATAAAATTCAGCCACAAGCTTTAGTACAAAATTGGCAAGGCTTATGCTATGTGGCCACAGCTTGAAAGTTGTGTTCTCCAATAAGTAGTTGAGTCAATAGATCCCTAGCAAAACATTAATACTGGTGAAATCTTATCTTCATGATTTCAGATACATTCCTTTGCTTACAAAAATGTCAACCTAAAACCCATGACAAATTACCTCTCCCTTGCATTATAGAATGATTAGAAGATTACCCAAATTAGCAAATGCTGAAATAAGGAGAATCAAACTTGAAATCCATAACACCTAAAAGTTTTTGTTGTATGGATTACCTTGACAAGTACCAAACCTCCCACTGAATAGTAGAAATCAAGCAAAGCACCTGCGCCACTGACAGTAACTTGTAGTCTTGAAGCAACACCCTTTAAGAGAGAGACCCATTATCACACATTGTCTGCAATTTTTTGTAACATAGAGTATATACCCTTCCGACCAAAAACAACATAGAGCAGAACAATACCTCAAAGACATCCTTTTCTATGTCACATTTTAATATTCCGTTGACTTTTAAGGCATAAAATAAATCCTTCAAAGCAGAAGATGGTGACCCCAGAATTTCCAACACAGATTGGCAAGCAGCTGTGTTGATATCAGACTTTTTATCAATGCCAAGCACCTCAAACGTTCTAAGTGCCTCGTATGTTTCTTCTAAGCTGGTGGCACACACAACATCTAGTCAGATCACTCTTTCTAGTTTATGCAGACACCACTACAAATTAGCTAAAAAAAATGAAACAAGCACAGGCATGGGTAAACACCAACAAAAAAATTACCACAAGACACAAAATTTATCATTTTCATAGTATCCAAACAGAGGTAACAGCCAATTTCATTTCTACAGAATAGCCAGATCTCATACGGTAAATTTACAAAGGCAATTTTAATTTCAGTGATTAGTAAAATTTGGCATCGCATAAGGATTAAATCAAATTCATCTAATTCACTTAGAAAATAATAAATTGAGAGATTAGATGTCAATTAGAAGGGTTTAATTAGGGTTTTTGAAAACCTGAAAAAGGATCCGTCGCGCGGCGTGAAGAGCTCTAAAGCAGCGGATCGATGAGAATCGGAGATCGGTTGAAAGATAGAAGAAGCAAAGGAAGATGAGCAGATCAATGCCGCAATGATCAGCACCAGAAATCCTTCCAGACTTCCGGCCATTTTGTGCAATAAAATTAAATAACCGCAGCAAGTACTTAACAGAAATAAGTTATGTCACAGAGTCATCAACATTCAAGTATGTGCAAATCGTTCGCAGTGCGAGTATGCGGATCCGATGACTATAAAAGTCGTTGCCCTCTCCTCTCCCTTCTCGAGTCTGGACTCACTCTCACACTGTAGTCTGGACTCTTGTTAAGAGGAAGCGGGGGTTTTCTATTTTTATTTTTTGATCCCGAAAATGCCCATAAGTATTCCATAAATACCCGTTATATACACAGGTGTGAGTTGACGTGCCCTATCAAGTGTTGCCATCTGGTGGCAAGATGACGCAGTCTGACCCTTGGTGGATCATCTTTGGGCCTTTTTGGGAAGCCTTTCTGGAATAGAGCCCATTCTTGAGCCTAGGTAAACAGAGATCGAGATTTTCTATTGAGCCCAAGGAAATAAAGGCTTGGGAGCGTCTGAACTCGTGAAAAGTGTAAAAAGTCTTGAACTGGATCAGATAGTCTTGATTAAGCGTAAAATAATCTTAAATTAATTTAGGAGGAAATGCACCGTTTTGAGACATTGGTATTAAACCCATCTCATTCTTTCAGGTGACCCGACAAATCCCAAGTGATGACCCAGTCAAACCTGTTCCAGTGAAAAATAGTTTTTTTTTTAAAAAAAAAGCTTTAAAAAAAATGATAGATTTAGATTAATCCCAAATAAAAACCCGGCTAGGTTTATCATCTTTCACTCAAAAGACCGCAAATGACACAAGCTTAAGGAGAAAACAAGCTCGTCATTAACTTAGTTTAAAAAAACAATATCTTGAAATAAATCTAGATTTTCAGAGAATAATAGAAATTACATCTTAAAATCTTACTTAAAATAGTTCTTTGACATTAACCATGAAAACTTAGATGACACAATGGTGTTCAGTTTGCCAACAAGCTTTACACCGATGAACACTTCATAGTTTTCATAAAAGATCCATTTGTAGGATTTTTTGTTTTTTCCCATCCAGGAAATAGTCTACAACTATCTGGGCTACAACGGGGGTGGCTGATGCACTACATTCAGCAACCAAAGATGAAAAGACACAACACTCTTCAACATGAAAAGACCCCATTCAGACACTTGAAGATGAAAAACTAGACAGCCATAATGATCTCAGTACTTCAGAGGTGACTGTTGGGTTGGCAACAATCCAAACCGCTTCTTTAAGAGAACTCTTTGCCTTGAATATTTGTCATCGGGGGAGAAGCGGGCTGCAATTTGAAAATGGGAAAAAATCAATAAGAAATCTGCATCTGAAGCACTAAACATTGATCAGAGATGGACACTCAGGAGTGATGGCAAAGCTCAATATGCGTGTAGTCTCTCTCTGGAAAATCCCAAGAGAAATCATATTTAGCTCATGCAAACATGCCATAACAGTTCAGATTTGTGAGGCAATGAAGAATTTGAATGAAGTCAAATGGCTGGATCACCAAATGCATGTTTAAACCAATTTATCTAATCACAAATCAACCAAAAGCAAAGGTCAAATCCAGAATCATTTGATACATGCAAACATAAACCTTTAAAGAAATTTTATCAAGAGTCCAACCACTTGTGACACTGTAAAAATTATTCAAATCGCAAAAACAACAGTACAATTGAATGTAGGAAAAGGTTTTCAAAACAGCACATCTGAAAATATAATTTTGGATTGCATAAAACAATCAACCCCCATAGCTTAGTCCAGTGATATTAAATGTTACTTCTGGTATTACAGAAATGTAAGACAATGACAGAGGAGAAGGATCACTGATCATGAGAATTTATTGTCTGGATGAAAGCCAATGATTACGGCAACCTAACAAATTCCCTGTTGCGAATTTCATAATCAAAATAAAAAAAACGTATTGCAGCATGATAATGAAAATATACCTGGGTGAGCAGATTGAGTGGGCAAGCCCAATGGTGATTCTTTCTGCAAAAAAGAAAAGGCAACTCAACAAAAATATAATAAACAACAGAAGCAGAAAATAAAGATATTCAGAAGTATTGAAAAAACAGTAGTTTTCTCAAAATCTCATCTCAAGAAGCATGCCTAGCAAAATCTTCAAACAATAAAGACAGTTTCCATTACTTTCAAATACAACAAAAGTAAATCTTGACAATACATAAAATTTCCTAGGACATATACTTAGAGAAGCCTGATCCTGCTTATCTCACCATTTAAATCTCTAAAAAAATCATTCCCCAACAAAAGATGGCATCTGAAACAAGGATATGCAAAACCTAGAAAGACAGCTGAAACACAAAACCTAGAACACCAAGTAATCAATAAGATATAAGAAGTCAGTCTCAAAATAACATACCTTGGTAGTGTAGACTTTGTCACCATTATCGTTTATGTAAAACTGAAGATACATCGTTCCAGCTCCTTGTTAACCTTCCTACAAACAGCAAAGTCAAAATCACAAGGAGCCCATCTTTGCAAAAATCCACATAGCATAATTAAAAGCTAAAAAAGCATGAAAAAGACCACAGAAGAGTAAAAAATAAAGAAACCCTAGTGATGACGGTACCTCTCTCGGCTCTTCTTGCAAGGGACTAGAAACTGGAAACAGCGCTCGCTTCGCTTCAAAAGAGATAATTGTTGAACGAGAGCTACTAGGGTTTATGATCCCTTTTTTAAATAAAGTTACGGACCAGGCCCACATTGGATGGAACCATTGGGCTCATCCAATCAGGCCGGCAAGACTTTTAGAAAACGCGTAAAGCCATTGACAAGGAGACAAAGGGCAAATCAGCAATTAGGTCATCATTCTTTCTCTCTCATTACAGTTGACCAATCAATCACTCTTCGAATCCACGTCTCTCTCTCTCTCTCTCTCTGAGAGACCTTATCTTTTACCTTTCAAAGCTTAAAATCTCTCCGCATTGGGCTTACAGTTAACAGACTCTCTAAAAACCTACTCATTGCCTAAAGGACGCCAACTAAAATGTCATTCGAGGAAGACGACGAGTCGTTCGAGCACACTCTTTTGGTGGTTCGCGAAGTCTCGGTCTACAAAATCCCTCCTCGCTCCACTTCCGGCGGCTACAAATGCGGAGAATGGTTACAATCCGACAAGATCTGGTCTGGAAGGCTTCGAGTTGTGTCCTGCAAAGAACGGTGCGAGATCCGATTAGAAGATCCGAACTCTGGTGAGCTATTTGCTGCTTGTTTCTTTAACCCTGGACAGCGCGAGAACTCCGTCGAGACAGTCCTCGACTCGTCCCGGTATTTCGTACTTAAAATCGAGGACGGGAGAGGTAAGCACGCGTTTGTTGGTCTAGGGTTTACAGAGAGAAATGAAGCGTTTGATTTTAATGTGGCGTTATCGGATCACGAGAAGTATGTCAGACGAGAAAATGAGAAAGAGAGTGGCGAGACGAGTGAGAGTGACGCTCACATTGATATTCATCCTGCTGTTAATCACAGATTAAAGGTAGTTAGCTTAAAAGTTGATCGCTTTATTTTGGTTGATTGATGGTGTTTAGTTAAGTTAGTTAGATGTGATCATTGAATTTTTATGAGATTAAAGATCCATAATTTTGAATTATAGGAAGGGGAAACTATAAGAATTAATGTGAAGCCTAAGCCAACGAGTGGAGCTGGAATGCTATCAGCTGCAGGGCTGTCTGGTTCGGCAACTGGAAAGCCTAAAACTTTAGTCATTGCCCCTCCTCCAACTGGGGCGGGGAAACCAAGGTCCCCACTTCCACCGCCTCCCAATGATCCGGCTGCTGCTCGAAAGACGGCTGTGAATAACGTTGGCATTGGTCTAAAAGCACCACCCAGGGAGTGTACACCGCGATCTACTGATTCTTTATCGGACCTGTCTCCACTTGAGGTATGTCTGGTTTCTGTATATCCTGTTTGTGTTCTTGATGGTGGTATTGTGTGTTTGAAATGTTATGCTAGCTTAGTTCAATCGATGTGTTCTTTAGAAATGTGAAAACACCGCACATTATGCCCTGAAGATTTGTGTTTTGGTAAGGCCATGGACTTGTTATGTTCCCTCGTTGATTGTTGGTAATGTGATGTGTGAATAGAGTGGACTTGACTGTATGCTAGGATAGTAATGTCATAATGGGGATAAACTGATTACAATTTCCTTTCGGAGATCCTGGTGTATTCTTAAGGGGAACGAGGGGATTTTTCTGCAATATATTTTTCTGCACTTCAACTAAATGTATATTGCCTAAGTTAGTAGATGCATATGTGACTGTGTGTTATTTACTTCCCTTGCTGTCCTGCATCTGCAGAGAAATCTTCCTTCAACAACAACAGGATCAACCAAGACAGCTGCATCGGGATGGGCTGCATTCTAATTGTGTTGCGGATTTATTGAGCATGATTTGAGGCATTTGTTTTACTTGTTCTTTGGAAAAGATGAAAAAAGTTGAGGAAATCGAGAAATGTAAGCAACCATGAGCTATCAAATACGACCATGTGTGAAAAATAATGTTATATGAAATGTATCAAATGCTTTTTTTATTCTTAAGTGAACTGAGTTCTTTTTTCTACACGATAGAGAAAAAGAATGGTGTCTTTATTGTTCTTGTTTCCTGATGCGTGCCCTTTACCAAATATGGTTCTTCTGTCATGCTCCTGCCCCTGACCCATGAGAACGACGAAAAAAAAGCTCATAATCCGCAACTGTTTCGCAAAGGAGCTTTCGGCAGCTAGGGTTAACAAGTTGATTCGTTGAAAACTTAAAAAAGTAAATGGTGATGAACAGGGAATTGCTGGTAAATTGATTTGGTGGCTAAACTGGTCTGGAATGATAGCCCTAATGATCTAGGAAAACCTATAGGCAACCTAGTTTAGTTTTTTTATAAAAAAAATTATATTTTTGTAATACGAAATAAAAAAAGCTTTTAATTTAAATATTCCAATTAAAAAAGATAATATAATATTATTTTTAATTTAGAATTTGAAGCTATTTTACATGTATATTTTATATTTATATAAAAAAATTATATTTATTCAATATAATTTAAAATTTATTTGTGAATATATTTTATGTTTTTAATAAAAAAATCATATTTTTTTAATATATGATAAAAAACTTTTTAGTTTAAACACTTTAACTTAAAAGATAGTATGATAATTTTTTAATAGAAGATTTAAAATTTTTTTGTATATATACTTTTATGTTTCTATAAAAAAAAGATATGTTTTTTCAACATGAGTTTTGAAACTTATTAGTATATATATTTCATGTTTTTAATAAAAAAATTATATTTTTTTAATATGAGATAAAAAAGCTATGGGTTTAAATACTTCAATTTAAAATGATAACATAATATCTTTTCAATTAGAAATTTGAAGCCTTTTTGGATATATACTATATGTTCTATTAAAAAAATTATATTTTTTTAATGTGAAATTTGAAATTTTTTAGTATATATACTTCATATTTCAAAAAAAATTATATTTTTTTAATGTGAAATTTGAAATTTTTTAGTATATATACTTTATATTTCAAAAAAAAATTATTTTTTTTTAATATAGGATAAAAAAAAATTTTAGTTTAAATATTTTAACTTAAAAGTTTAATATAATATCATTTTAATGTGAGATAAAAAAAATTTAAAATATTATTTAAAATATTATTTTTTATAATATATAATTTATATTTATATGGATTTTTTATATGAAATATTAAAAAATTATTTTAAAAAAATTTAGACTCTCCCATAAAAAATAATTTAAAAAAAAAATTAAATTGATACCATTGATTTGAATTATTCAAGTTGATTGAGACTGACTAATAAAAACTAGGACCCAGCAACTTTGATGGTCACCCACTGAACCTTTGGGGGTGTTGTATTTAGAGAATCTAGTAGAGTTTGAGTTTTAAATACAATAGGGTTTGGCATTTTCTTATGAGCCAAGATAGAAAAGAGGAGCCATGAATTCATTTCACACATGCAAAGTATTAAGTTCACCGTAATATAATATTTTAATTATATTTTTTTTATCAACAAATTTGTCGTTAAATTTTCTTTCTTTCTTTAGTTGACTTCACTTACTTATATATTTTCTGAATTATTTGCCAAACATGTTGGGAATAGAAAGAAAGAAAAAAAGTGTTTCATGTTTATCTCAATTAGTTTTTAATTACTTTTTTATTTCACCATTACAGACTTCTCAAACTCGAACATCATTCGCCAAACATCATAAAGACTGAACACCTCAATCTTCAACCACTTTCTAAGGGAGCAAACTTACCAAACTTAACACTTCAATCTTCAACCACCTTCTACTCCCTTAGAAGTCAATTTATAGACGCTTTTTACCTCCCACGCAGCTACTTGGCACCGCATAAGATTCCTTGTTTGCGCTTGGGGGACAATACTGGATTTCCAATGTTCCCATTCACAGCTAGAGAAGCTTAATTGCCCTTTCGCAGAACAAGACCTGAAATCCTGGACCACTGGACTGGCTGGGCTCGTATTAAAATCCCCTGCAGGTCTGCACGATGGCTCTCAGCTGCACTTTCATGCCAAGCGCAGCCAGGATTATGATCTCCAATGTAACGGAGTGAAAGAGGCCCCAAATCTGAAGAGAGAATTCATCCTCAAAAGAAAAAGGGAAAAAAAAATAATTCCCTGAAGAGAGAGAACTTCGTGACTCATTCTCTAGTTCGAGAGGGAGTCTTGTCTAAAGAGTGGATGTTTCTACAGGAGGTGGCTGGTGATTCCCTTTCTTTCAATGCCACTTGATGCTTTATAAAACAAACTTTTGAAATCATACTTGTGGGTTTAGTTATAAATTGAATCAAAATATCATTTTTTATTAAAATTTAATCAATTATATCAAATTTTAGCGCCCAGTACAGATTAACCGGATTAACACCGATACTGTTTTTTTTTTTTTAAAATAAATAAATAAATTCGGATTAACACCGATACTGTTTTTTTTTAAAAAAAAAATAAAGGGATCTTATTTAATAAAAAATATCTACATAAACTGACTTGATAATGAATAATAAATAATTGTTTGATAATAGTTTGGTTTTTTTTTTCATATCAATTACCCAACTAAAAATTATAATTATTAAATCTAGTTTAGTTAAATAAAATGATTGAAAACCTGATCAACTAAATAACTAAGATCAAACTAAGCAAAAACCTAACAAAACATGTTTGACTTTCCAGTTCAACTTGTAATCTAAGCAACCTAACAAAACTTTGTAAAGATTTTTTTTAAAATATGTTTTTCCATCTTAACCATAAATCATTTATATATATATTTTTTAATTGATTATTAATCTTTTTTTAAAAAAAATTATTTATAAAAATACTAGAATAATTTTTAATTTTTTTTAATATGAGATTTAGAGCGTATATATATTTTATGTTCATAAAAAAATATTTTTTAAATATGAAACTTGAAATTTTTTATCATATATATTCCTTTATATATTTTTTTAACATGAAATAAAAATTATTTTTAAATACTTTTTTAAATTTTATTGTTGATAAAATATCTAATTTATATTTATATAGATTATTTTTTAATTTTTCATATAAAATATTAAAATTTTAAATATTTATTTTATTTTATTTTAAATTTACCCAAATCAATTTTTTAACTCAGGAATCAACTCATTAATTAGATAAATTTTCAAAGCAGG